GGTCCACTCTGGGCAGATCTCGCCGGCGCGCGCGTGGGGAGGGGAGGGGGAGGGGGAGGGAACGAGAGGTGGGGAGGGGGGCAAAAGTTCTGGGAAGGTGGAAGCGGCGGTGGTTATATAATTGCGGTCTGGTCTGGATTGGAGCCGAGCCCGGCTGGCTGTATAGCGGCGAGGCCGAGGTGGAGGAGAGGTCGTGGTGAAGTGGTCGCCGCGCGGAGACAACCAGGGAGCGAAGGAAGGTTGCTCTGCTGCCTACCAGTGAGGTTGGGGGTTGGGTTGGTAACAACGATCGATGTATGTCGAGGCAGAATAAAGTACTTTCGTGGTAGATCTCGATGGATGATGGCTGGTAATAAATTCATAACAAATCCAGCATCCGTAGGAACTAAACCTAACCATTTGAACTATACTTGGTTTGTAATTAAGTAAGCTTCGGGCTCACGCGCGCCACGTGGCGCTCGGTCTCCCCCCTCTCGCCGTCTCGGTTGCCCTTCTTCTCTTCTTCGACGCCGGCGGACATGAACTCGCCCCGTGTCGGTATTGTCATCCTTTTCGCTCCATGTGGGGTTCAACACTTACTTATCACAAATTATGCTACAAGACATGTGCACTTGGAGGGCATCATTGTGCGGGAGGCATGAGGAGAAGGTGCCACTGGAGCACGTTGGGTAGCCAGTTGTTATAGGCGGCTAGTAGGTAGAGCGGTGTGTCATGGGAGACGCGATGATCGCCAAAAATCAATGCTTGAGCTCGCGAGGCGTTCTGGATATTATATTTGTGTCGTGCCTTCAATGGTGAGTCCCAACATATGCAAGAACGGTGAGAAAAGTCTCCTAGTCAATATTTGTGGGCCCACATCAGAGTGGCAAAGTGGAAATTATGGTCTCAATGGCAGGTCCCCCACATCGGCAGGAATGGTTAAGGAGTCAACCGAGTCGACACACACCAGAGTGGACAAATAGAAATTACGACCTCAGTGGCGGTCCACCACATCGGCAGGATCAAGTTAAGTAGTCAACCGATCGGCACACACGTGAGTGGAAAAAAGAAATTACGACCTCACCGGCGGTCCACCACATCGGCAGGAATAAGTTAAGTAGTCAACCGATCGGCACACACGAGAGTGGAAAAAAAAGAAATTATGGCCTCAACGGTGGTCCACCACATCGGCAGGAACAAGTTAAGTAGTCAACCGAGTCAGCACACATCAGAGTGGTAAAATTGAAATTATGGCCTCATTCTGGGGCCCGCATCGGCCAGAAGGATCAATGAGTTACCTCCTGGTTGCGGTTGACGTGGCGAAGTGGTGGGTCCCAGATGTAAGGAAATTGGAAATTTGATGGTAAACTGGCGGCAACTGGCAGAGACGGTGCGGAGTGGCATGGACAAAGACCGAAATACGCAAGTTTGAGTGGGAGAACTCGCATATGTAACTTCATTGGTCGCATGGACTGGCTTTTCCCTATCGAGGAAGAGAGATACCAATGCAACTGAAGAAGAAATAAGTATTGGGTGATTTCATGTTCACTTCTTGATTCTTCAACAACCAAGCACTCCCCTTTCTTGAATCCCTAATCCTCGATATCATCTCTTTCGCCACATTCATATCTTTGCGAGAGAGTCATTCATTTGGATTCTTGAGAGAAGGTTTGATTGAAGATCTTTCAAGGAGTTCTTTCCAAGTGACTTTGCTTTGCTTCTTACTCTTGGATGGTGAGCGCATCCTAGACAATTAGGGTACACTTGTTATCCTATCAAGTTCTACAAGTGAAGCATCCAAGAGTTTGTAATAGTACAAGTACCATCCACTTCATGAAAATCTACCCCTAGTGAGGCTTCTCGGTGCAAGCCATGATGGTATAGGTTAGTTGTGCTTCATGGGCCGCTTGGTGGGTGACACGACCAGGATCCATGGATCCTAGAATCCCTTGGTTTGAAGCCTCCATCAACATGGATGTCGGACATCGCCAACTATCAGAACCACGGGAAAACATTCTCGAGTCCCCAATGTTTGTGTATTCTTCCCTACTCCCTTTTATGCATGCAAGTTGTTACATTCTGGTTACTATACTTGTTTTACTTGTTATGATTGTTTGATTACTCTCAAAATTGCTTAAGTAGTCGGCTCCAATTCGCGCACAACCTTCTCTTTCTTCTCGTTCTCTCCGCATCTCTCCTCTCCGAGAAGCTTTCTAGTTCTAGCCTCCTTTGGTCCCTCCACTCTTCCTCTGGCCTCGCCAACAGTGAGCAGGGCGAGGGACCCCCTTGTAGTATGGTCTAGTATAGATTTCCTCATTTGCATCCTTAATGGCCGGGTGCCCCTCGTCGGATTGGAGGCTCTGAAGGAAATATGCCCTAGATGCAATAATAAAGTTGTTATTTATATTTCCTTATATCATGATAAATGTTTATTATTCATGCTAGAATTGTATTAACCGGAAATTTAGTACATGTGTGAATACATAGACAAAACATATGGTCCCTAGTATGCCTCTACTAGACTAGCTCGTTAATCAAAGATGGTTATGTTTCATAACCATAGACATGTGTTGTCATATGATGAACGGGATCACATCATTAGAGAATGATGTGATGGACACGACCCATCCGTTAGCTTAGCATAATGATCGTTAAGTTTATTGCTATTGCTTTCTTCATAACTTATACATGTTCCTCAAACTATGAGATTATGCAACTACCGAATACCGGAGGAACACCTTGTGTGCTATCAAATGTCACAATGTAACTGGGTGATTATAAAGATGCTCTACAGGTGTCTCCGAAGGTGTTTGTTGGGTTGGCATAGATCGAGATTAGGATTTGTCACTCCGTGTATCGGAGAGGTATCTCTGGGCCTTCTCGGTAATGCTCATCACTATAAGCCTTGCAAGCAATGTGACTAATGAGTTAGTTGCGGGATGAAGCATTACAGAATGAGTAAAGAGACTTTCCGGTAATGAAATTGAACTAGGTACGAAGATATCGACGATCAAATCTCGGGCAAGTAACATATCGATGACAAAGGGAACAACGTATGTTGTTATGCGGTTTGACCGATAAAGATCTTCGTAGAATATCTAGGAGCATCCAGTTTCCGATATAGGTTATTGATCGGAGATGTGTCTCGATCATGTCTACGTAGTTCTCGAACCCGTAGGGTCCGCACGCTTAACGTTCGATGATGACATGTATTATGAGTTATGTGTTTTTGATGACCAAAGTTTGTTCGGAGTCCCGGATGAGATCACAGATGTGACGAGGAGTCTCGAAATGGTCGAGACATAAATATTGATATATTGGAAGGCTATATTCGGATATCGGAATGGTTCCGGAGAAGTTCAGGTATTTTCCGGAGTACCGGGAGATTACCGGAACCCCCGGGGGAGTTGTTGGGCCTTAGTGGGCTTTAGTGGGAAGAGGAGGCAGCAGCCAGGAGGTGGCGCCCCCCCCCCCCCCAAGCCCAAGTCCAAATTGGACAAGGGGTTGGGGGCGCGGGCCCCCTCTCCCTTCCTTTCCCCCTCCCCCGTGAGGTGGAATCCTACTAGGACTTGGAGTCCTAGTAGGACTCCCCTCTCTTGGCGCTCCCTACAGGGGCTGGCCGGCCTCCCCCTCCCTCCTTTATATACGGCGGTAGGGGGAACCCTAGAACACACAAGTTTCTCTTAACCGTGTGTGATGCCCCCCTCCATAGTTACCTCGATCATACCATCGTAGTGCTTAGGCGAAGCCCTGCGCCGGTAACATCATCATCACCGTCGCCACGCCATCGTGTTGACGGAACTCACCCTCGTCCTCAACTAGATCAAGAGCACGAGGGACGTCATCGAGCTGAACGTGTGTTGAACGCGGAGGTGTCGTACATTCGGTACTTGGATCGGTTGGATCGCGAAGACGTTCGACTACATCAACCGTGTTACTAAACGCTTCCGCTTTCGGTCTATGAGGGTACGTGGACACACTCTCCCCTCTCATTGTTATGCATCACATAGATAGATCTTGCATGACCGTAGGATTTTTTTTGAAATACTACGTTCCCCAAACAGTGGCATCCGAGCCAGGTTTATGCGTAGATGTTATATGCATGAGTAGAACACAAAGAGTTGTGGGCGATAATAGTCATACTGCTTACCACCAACGTCTTACTTTGATTCAACGGTATTGTTGGATGAAGCGGCTCGGACCGACATTACATGACTGTGTTCATGAGACTGGTTCTACCGACGTGCTTTGCACATAGGTGGCTGGCGGGTGTTTGTTTCTCCAACTTTAGTTGAATCAAGTTTGACTACGGTCGGTCCTTGTTGAAGGTTAAAACAGCACACTGGACGAAAAATCCTTGTGGTTTTGATGCGTAGGTAAGAACGATTCTTGCTAGAAGCCCATAGTAGTCGCGTAAAATTTGCAACAACAAAGTAGAGGACGTCTAACTTGTTTTTGCAGGGCTTGTTGTGATGTGATATGGTCAAGACATGATGTGATATAAATTGTTGTATGAGATGATCATGTTTTGTAACAGAGTTATCGGCAACTGGCAGGAGCCATATGGTTATCGCTTTATTGTATGCAATGCAATCGCCATGTAATTGCTTTACTTTATCACTAAGCGGTAGCGATAGTCATAGAAGCAATAGTTGGTGAGACGACAACGATGCTTCGATGGAGATCAAGGTGTCGCACCAGTGACGATGGAGATCATGATGATGCTTCGGTGGTGGAGATCATGAACACAAGACGATGATGGCCATATCATGTCACATATTTTGATTGCATGTGATGTTTATCTCTTATGCATCTTATTTTGCTTAGTACGGCGGTAGCATTATAAGATGACCCCCTACTAAATTTCAAGGTACAAGTGTTCTCCCTGAGTATGCACCATTGCTACAGTTCATCGTGCCGAGACACCATGTGATGATCGGGTGTGATAAGCTCTACGTTCACATACAATGGGTGCAAGCCAGTTTTCACGTGCAAAATACTCGGGTTAAACTTGACGAGCCTAGCATATGCAGATATGGCCTCGGAACACTGAGACCGGAAGGTCGAACGTGAATCATATAGTAGATATGATCAACATAGTGATGTTCACCATTGAAAACTACTCCATCTCACGTGATGATTGAACATGGTTTAGTTGATTTGGATCACGTGATCATTTAGATGACTAGAGGGATGTCTAAGTGGGAGTTCTTAAGTAATATGATTAATTAAACTTTAAATTTATCATGAACTTAGTCCTGATAGTTTTTGCATGTCTATTTTGTTGTAGATCAATGCCCCATGCTACCGTTCCTTTGAATTTTAATGCGTTTCTAGAGAAAGCTAAGCTGAAAGATGATGGTAGAAATTACACGGACTGGGTCCGTAACTTGAGGATGATCCTCATTGCTGCACAGAAGAATTGCGTCCTGGAAGCACCGCTAGGTGTACCACCTATGCCAGCAACTGCACACATTGTGAATGCCTGGCAGACGCATGTTGATGACTACTCGACAGTTCAGTGTGCCATGCTTTAAGGCTTAGAATCGGGACTTCCAAGATGTTTTG